AAAAATAGCCTATTTTTCTCTAAGTTCTCCTTACCATGGAAAAGTCAGTATGTGGTTATTTGCTGGAGTTCTGCTGCCATAAAGAACGTGACAAACTTCCATCAATTCTCATCAAATGTTAAACTAAAATCGAAATAGAAATGATGCCCCCATTCAAAGCTTTTAAATGTATCTTTGATAAAGATCTAAAGGGAAATACTACTCTTAGATCGTGATAAAGAGGAAGTAAATAGGCAAAAACAAAAAAAAACCTCAAAAGTTCCTGAGTCCTCACTTTCTCCCAACCCTTTACACAAAGGGTTCCTCAGAGTTGTGTCTGCCTGCATCAGAATTAATCTCCCTTTTAAAAGTGAAGATTCCTTGCCCATACTTCCAAACTCCTTAGGACTCACTGACACTATGGCTCAAGTTTCCCAAGTAATTCTGAAGTACTTCCTGTTTGAGAACCACAGCTCTGTTGTCTGCAAGGCAAGACCAGAGTTGTCAGCAGGTGCTTAACCTTTAGAAAAACCAGCTCCCTTTTAATCATACTTCTCAATAGTAATTAGACTAGATTGTCACACATCAATTCTGTTAAAGACAGTATCTTTGAAATAAACTCATGTGCAAAACTAGTGGGGCCCGTAAAAGCACCATGGGCACTCCGCCCGTAAATGAACTATGTGTCAAGTGGTACAAAGAATAGTTTTGGCAAAACCACACTTACATTGGTTTTGAGATGTATTCTGTTTACTGATGAAAATATAATTCATAAACATTCAAGAATAATACATTCAACATTTATCAAATATACGATTAAGCAAATTTTCCATATTGGCATATACTTGGCAAACAGTTAATCATTCCCAAAAATGAACATAAAAATATTAGAAGCAACCATTATTTCACATCAAACCAAATTAAAGCACCTAAAGTTTGGTAACTCGAGGTAAATATACAACTTTATTCTTTTGGGAAAAAACACAGTATTAATAAGGGGAAGGCAATCATAATTTTAAATAGATTTTCAATATCACTATATATGTGATGGTGGATTTAGAAAAGAATTTCATAAAATGTTTTGGCAAAGAGTAAAGGTCAAGAGGGCACATTCTAAAGTCCATGTACTTGGGTTCTTTCCTGACTACCACCTGCATGACTTTGGGCATAGCTTAGCCTTAGCTTTCTCATTTATAAAAGGAAAATAATAATTGCACCTCCTTTTAAGGGTAGCTGGGAGGATTCAAACAACCCATATAAAGCACTTGGAACAATGCCTGGCACATAGTAAGTGCCCAATAAATGTCAGTGATTATTACTCTCCTAACCTTCACGCTCAACCAACCCTAAGTAGCTGACACTCAATTTTTTTATTTTTTTACAAGTAACGGAACTATCTAACCTCTGAATAATGTATTCCAGCATCAAAACTCTCACAACTATAAAGTTACTTCCATTATGAAATACAAATCTTGGAAATATGGTACAAAAACTCCCTACTACACGAATGAAACACTATCCCTATTTGTGCAACAGGACCGGAAAGGAGAAAGGTAACAATTTGAAAACGGAACATCAACGATCTTCAGTGTGGTAGGCAGCCCTAAAGATGATATCCACTGATCTCAACTTCTGTTATTCTCACTTGTGTAATTCTCTCCCCATTGAATATGGGTTGGGTTTATTGACAAACTTCCAGGAATAAACTAGGGAAGAGGTACATTACTTACAATATTAGGTTGCAAAGTGACAGAGGTGTCCAACAGAGAGGTGTCCTCCATCTTTTTCTTGACAGAAGTCAGTTAAATTATGGAGACACACATAGCAAAGAAATGGAATGCGTTTCTCCCCAAATTTTGCCTTGAGAAGACCGCAGCCCCAGCCCACACCATGACAGCAACCCTGTTCTGAGTACTGCCATCTAGCTTAAGCAGCACCGATTCCTGACTTACAGAACCGGGAGATGATAAATGTTTGCTGTTTAAGCTGCTCCACTTGGAGATAACTGGTCAAGCACCAAAAACTGCTTTTTCAGTCCATAGGTTCACCACCGGAAATTACAGCACCCTTCTGACAAAATTACTGGCCATGATATGGCATCGTCAAATCCAAAACCAAAATCTGGATCTTGTTTCTTGCTTCAAATATATAAGAATGTGATTTAATGGTCAATGAGTCATGCTTTTCTTTTTCACAGAAACAGCCGCACCTGGCTTCCACCTTGTTAAGAGTTCTCCTGCAAATATCCTGCATTGCTAGTTCCTTCTCAATACTCAGGCTTCAATTAAAACATCACCTCTTCAAAGGCCTTTCCTGAACAGCCCTTCGGAAGGACCCACTCCTTACCCCACTCTCAATCACATTTCCCGCCTACTGTCTCCATAACTTATCACCAGTTAATACGTTGTTTATTCATTAACTTGTGTACTGTCTAACCGCACTGGTACGCTCGCAGTATCTGTTCACCACTACTGTTCCTTCGTCTGAAACATAATAAGGACTCGGTGAGTAGTATTTGTGGACTCAAAAAGAATACAAAGGAAATACTCAGGACCAGGAAAAAACACAGGGGGAAGTGGAAAGGTCGTTAAGCCCCATCTCGAAAGCCTGAGAACTAAAGAAACGAGATGGAAACAGGGAGAGAAACAGAAGCGGGCTCAGGAACACACAATACTGGGCTGTGCACAGGCGGGCGGATGGAGGCCCAGAGCGAATGCTAAGTGCGGAGGCCAGACACGGCCCCTGCCCGTTCTGGGACCACAGCAGAGGGGCAGGAGGGGTAACCCTACTAGTACTTTACCCGAGTCTCCCCCCGGCACCGAGCGGGGCAGCGTGAGCGTGAACACGGCGGCCACGGCGGCGAACACTGCCAAGCCGCCGCGGAGGCCTCCGGAGCGCCGCGGCCCCACTCGGACTGCCCGCTCCTGGGCCTGACCCCTGCCGTCGCCATGGGGACTCATGGGCCAGTGGCGACCGAGGGAGGAGAACGCCGCCGGCCCAAGGACTCGGTGCTACACGAAGCTCAGGAGCCGAGAGGCAACTTCAGCCTGTCGGGCAGCGGCGGCGGCTTCCGGGTCGAGCCTCCGCGGGTCGGACCGCACCTTTCTCCGCCTGAGCGCGGGGAGGAGAAAATGCCAGGTCGCGTTTGAGCGAGGCCCTGAGAGCTTTCCCGCAGTGCACCACGCATTGGCGTTCAACTACTTATAATTTGCTTTAAGGTCCCTAATCACTGGGAGAGCGCTCCCTTTAAAAAGCAAGCCTGGCCACAGGCCTACTGTCTCCATGGCTGTTCCCCCCTTTCATACTGACTTGGTTGGGTCTGACACAGACCAAAGCAGCTTGGAAAATCCGAGCGAGGAAGGGCTGCTCCTGCCCCCTACGGTGCGGGGTGGAACTGCACAAAAGGGATCAGTCAGGAGCCCCTACCTGTGCTAACACAAAGGGTGCTGTATTTACTGTATGTGCAAAGTAAGCCAATAAATACGTTAATCGCAATTATGTATTTATTACGATTTACTACGTTACTATGATTAATTACAATAAGTCTGTGTGCTACTTATTAAATCACGGAGTATTTTTAGAGAGATTAGAATATGCTAGTGTGTCAAATTTGTTTTTCTTCCATAGCATGATGAAAACTCTGTAGATGAGTTGGGAAATTTGAGTCCCTGTATTCATGCAAATAACTCATACTTTGATAAAGGTGTCTCCTAGTTTAATGAGCAGGGGTGTTTTCCTGGAGCTTTCAACACAACAAAGTGGGAACGAAATGGAATCACCATACTTTACAATGAGCTGTAACGCAAAAAAAGAATCAGGTCCTATTAACATAGGATAATCACATAACGGCGCAGTTAACACGTTTTTTAAGCTTATATTTTATATTTAAGCTTATATTTTATGTTATTAAAGCAGTTATTCTGGAGTGGGATGGGAGGAGGGCAGCCCCCATAGAATATATCTCAAAGACACACTGAAAACCAGTGACAATCTCAAAAGTGTTACATGCAATTTGATAAGGACACAGTGACTAAAACATAGAGTAACAAATACCTACCGTGACAGTCATGGGGCCAGCACACCTTAGTCTTTTCCAGGTACTTATATAATTTCCAGTCTTTTCCCGGCACTTTGTCAGCAATACTGTGAGCTCCTGGAGGACAGAGGCTGAGCAGTAGAGTGCTTCTAAAATGGCTTCCCAGATATCCCTGCCTCCTCACTCACTTCCTGTACAATCTGCACCCCTAATGTGAGGAGCTTAACCTAAAGATTCGCTTCTATCAACAGAATAAGGCAAAAGTGATGGATGGTACTTTCAAGATTAGGTTATAAAAGACTAACTTTCATCTTGCTGGCACTCCCTCTTGTCCTCTCACTTGTTCTCTCTGATGAAGCCACCGACCATGGTGTCAGCTGCCCTGTGGAAATGTCCACGTGGCGAGAAGCTGACAGCTGCGCTAGCCAACAGCTGGCAAGAACCTGAGGCCTGCAGTCCAACAACCTTTGAGGAACTGCATCCAGGCAGCACCGTGTGAGTGGGTGTGGGTCCCTCCCCCATACGAGCCTTGAGTTAACTAGAACTCCTGTCAAGACGTTAATTGCACCCTGTGAATGACCCGGAAGCCAAGAACCTAACTAAGCCTCATCCAGACTGCTGTCCTCTAGAAACTGCGAGATAATAAGTTTTAAATTGTTTTAAGTTGATAAATGCGGGGAAATTTGTTAGTTATCAGCACTAGATAACTAAGGCTGCCTCTTATTTCTTTGCTGAAAGAACATACCAGTGGGTAACACCGACTGGATCAAGCCTATCTTCTGTTTTTATGCATTTCCTCTTTTGCTTATGAGTTTTATTTAAAATGTTTTTATTTTGAAGGGGAATACTTCTTTGTCTATGTTTGGGAGGTAGAGCTCAGTGCTGGAAACACAAATTTGGGAGTTGTTCATATAAGGATGATATAAATGATTTACTTGATAAAGGGATAGTGTAGAGAGAACAAGGTTGAGGTCTAACATCAGACCATATTCTCATTTAGGGAATGGCTGGAGAAGAGGAGAGAGCAGTGGAAGAGAACGAGGTGTCACTAGAAACTAAAAAAGCAAAGTCAATGAAGTACACGTGGTCAGGATGTTCACAGAGAGGCAAAGGGCAATGAAGACGGGCACATCTAGATTTTATGACGCTCAAATGTATAAAACTTGGAGAATTGTCTGTAAGCAAACTGATATAAAACTGCAGATACAGAATTAAGCACAAGATATTGGAAAATGTCTGGGCTAGAGAGAAACTGTGAAACCTAAGCTTCATTAGCTTCACGGTTGTTTTCCTTTGAAGATTAAGGACTGCCAGTTCTCTGTGGCTGATCCTACCTCTCAGTAAGCATCTGACTATTCCCTCCTCCGGAAGTATTTTCTTTTCTGGGCTTCAATGATAGCACCCTCTTTGGTTTTTCTTTGATCAGTGGCCTTCCTGCCCTGGCTCTGCTTCTGTCCGTCCTCCAAATGCTGGAGTGCTCCTGGGCTGTTCTACACTTTTCTCTCTTTCTATCTCCTTTACGAAGATGATAATATTGAAGCTTTAAAAAGTAATTATGGGCTGGGCGTGGTGGCTCATGCCTGTAATTCCAGCACTTTGGGAGGCCAAGGCGGGTGGATTACTTGAGGTCAGGAGTTCAAGACCAGCCTGGCCAACATGCTGAGACCCTGTCTCTACTAAAAATACAAAAATTGGCTGGATGTTGTGGTGGATGCCTGTAATCCCAGCTACTGGGGAGGCTGAGGCAGGAGAATCACTTGAACCTGAGAGACGGAGGTTGCAGTGAGCCAAGATGGCGCCATTGCACTCCAGCCTGGGTGAGAAGAGCAAATGTTCGTCAAAAAAAAAAAAAAAACAAACTATGGGGCAATATATCTAAAAACTACACCTCCTCTGCCTCTCTTAAGCAACAGATTTTTTGTTTGTTTCTTAACCCAACTGCCCCGACCTCTCCATTTCTATGTCTAAATAGCCTTTCAAACCTGATGGATTTTGTCTAATTTCTACCATATTTAAACTTATACCTGACACAAAATGAGTGCTAAACAAATATTTATGTAATAAATGAATGCATGAACAATCAGAGATCATCGGTGTATCCGTTAGGGATTGTATTTAGCTACTAGTGACAGATCCTGCTACAGTGGCTTAAACATTAAAACAATTATTCTCCTATGTAAAAGAAGTCAGAAGTCTGGAGGAAAACAGTCTAATACTGGCTATGCAACTCCCTGATTCCACTAAGGACAAAGCTGAAGTCCTCATATCTTTCTGCACCATCCCACTCAGCTTACATCCTCAAGGTCATCTACTGATCCAAGGTGGCTGCTAATGCTCCAGATATTACATCTGTTCTTGAGGAAGAAAAAGAAAGGACGGGAAGAGAAAGGCCTGCTCCAGCCTAAAAAAAAAAAAAAAAAAAAAAAGGTGCTGAAACAGCCCCTTTCAGGCTATTCCACAATTATGCTACATCTAATTGGCCAAAATGGAGTAACAGGTCATTCCTAGGGGTAAAGGATGCTGGGAAATGGACTTTTCAGCTAGACAGCTTGCCCAGAATTCTATTACAAAGGAAAAAGGGGAGAATGGATATTGAGGGGCAACTAGTGGGCTCTGCATGGATTGGGTGGCCTGGAGGTATTTGAACCTTGAAAGTTTAAGAGGTCAGCTTCAGTAGAGTAGTAGATATGAAAACGAGGTACCAGTGGACTAAGAAGTGAGCAAATGGAAGACATGAAAATAGAATACATTTGCAAAAAGTTTGGCAGTGAAGGGAAAGAGGGAAATAGCATGAAAATTCACAGGGATTGAAGGGTCAAATGAAAATTTTGAGTATCTTGTTTTGTTTGTAACTCAAGGGAGGATTTGGAGAGAGTGAGTGATGAAGTAACGATGTACAGCTTATTGGAGAGGATAGAATCAAGGAGGACAGAAGAGAAGGATTGAAGAGAGAAAATGTTAGAGATAAAGAGAGAGACCTCATGATGTCTCTCTTTACACATGATTTGTAAACACACAACTGTTGGACTTGACCCTGAGGCAGACCAATAAGACACACAAGGAGTACTGACTTCCTGTTTATGCTCTACATCATTCTATGATGGCTTAGTCACTATAATACAAACCATAAAGTAAAAAAATATGTAAATAATTTAGGATTCATCCAGAGAAACAGAACTAGTAGGAGATCTGTATGATACAATTTATTGCAAGGAATTGTCTTACATAATTGTGAGGGCTGGCTAAGTAACTCTGAAGCACATAGCACAAGCTATCAGGAGGGAAGACAGGAACTCTTGGGCATGGCAGAAAGCTGCTGCCTACTGCTACCAGTTTTTTGTCAACGGGGGACCCACACCCCTGCTTAAGGCCTTTCAACTGATTGAATCAGACCTACCAGATTAACTATGATAATCTCACTGTTCTAAAATCAACAGAGGCCGGTCATGGTGGCTCACACCTCCAAATCCAGCACTTTGGGAGGCTGAGGTGGGAGAATCACTTGAGACTAGGAGTTCGAGACCAGCCTGGGGAAACCCCATCTCTACTAAAAATACAAAAAAAAAAAAAAAAAAAAAAAAAAAAAAAAAAAAAAAAATTAGCCAGCTGTGGTGGCCCATGCCTATAATCCCAGCTACTCACAAGGCTGAGGCACAAGAATCGCTTGAACCTGGGAGGCGGAGGCTGCAGTAAGCCAAGATCGCACCACTGCACTCCAGCCTGGGTGAAGGAACGAGACTCTGCTTGGGAAAAAAGTCAACTGATTATGAGCTTTAGTCTTATCTACAAAATACCATCATAGCAACACCACGATTCGTGTTTGATTGAAAAACTGAGGAATGTAGTTAAGTCAAGTTGACACATTCAAAGAACATCACAGAGGCCAGGGAACACATGAATTAGATCTAGAACATCAGATTGATGGAAAGCAAATACATAGATCTGTGGCCTTATGGTACCCTCAATTTGACTCTGGGAGTCTTCCTGGGATTTATGGCCAGCATCTAGCTTCTGTTGAAACCAAGGAAGTGGCTCCTCGTTATTGCTGAGC